TGTTGCTGCATGGGGAAAACGCAAGGACGGTTTTTTCTAGAACGGTGGGCCCACAAATTATAGATCACTATAATGTCATGTACCTTATTGTAATGGTGGGTCTCTTCACTAGACTGATATTCAGTTCGGTCTAGCTTTAAGCTCATTTCTGTGGCCTGCAATTAAAAAGGGCCAATTGACTATGGCTGAGCCATGGAATGCTTTTATGGGTGCAGGGTCTTTGTGCCCATATCTCATATTATGGTGGTTTTGTTTAGGATTTATTGTATACCTTTGCATAGGGTTGTTATCTTTGGTTGTGCTTTGTAGATCCCATATGGCTGTTAAAAAAAAATAAATAAATTTAAAAAAATCTCTTTTACCAAGTAAAAATATAAAAATATATATATGTCCTTTATATATAAATTCAAGTGTTCCAAATTAGAACATAAACACTAAAACAAAGTATATAAAATTATAGGGTGAAATACCTCATCTTCCTTGAAATTTGTTCAAGTATCTCACACTTAAAACTATTGTCAAAATAGCCTTTGACATTTCTTCAAGTGAATTTGTCCAAATATCTCTTAAATAAACTATTGTCAAAATAGACACTGACCTCCTAAGATTTGTCAAAATTCCTGACACCCTTTGAAGTTTTGTCGGAGCACTCTTATCTTAATCAATGGAATATTTTCTAAATGGTCAAGCCACTCTTAATGAGAGAAAATGACTCAAATAACCTTATTAGAATACCAAATGACTATTTCAACCAAATTTATTTGGACAAAACTACCCTTTATTATACTACCATTTTGGATTGTTTTTGCAAAGTTGAAAACAATTTTTTTATGGACAATTTAAGACAAAATATTTTTGAACAAGTGGTTTATTGATGAATCAAACAATGAATTATTATTAGCCAATGTATATTTTGTTAAGTTATATGAATTATTTGCTGAATAGCAAATATGTTGAATTATATACTAAAATGGTTATTTGGTATACTAACAATGTCATTTGAACCATTTTCTCTCACTTAATGGTAGTTTGGGGCCTTGGGCATTTATAAAGTATTCCATTGAGAGACTTAATAATGACTAATGTTACGCCTAGTCAGATAAATTTAAACAAATCTCCATGAGTAACTATTTTAACCATAATTTTAACCGAAAGATATTTGCAGAAACTCATGGGAGATCAACGTATTAATTTCACTCAAAATTATATACACAACTAATCCAACTTTTCAAATATAATTTAAAGAGAGACCAATAATTTAGGTGAGAGATTTGACGCTTCTGTGGGGTAGGCAGGATGATCTAAGGATTGATTTAGTTTCTTAAAGAAACAACTAGGGCCCAAAATTCTATAACCTAAAGTTATAAACCTTAAAAAAAGATAGAAGTTGATAAACAAATGGTACTAATCATGCACTAATTGCAAAAGAAGGCCAGTAGATCCAAGTTGCTAATCCCACTTTAAGAGATCTTATGGGATCTTTATTTCTTTTTCTTGATTGGCATTTGTCATGTTTTACTCTCTGTCCTTCGAAAAGATTGATTGAGAAATAATCAATAATAATTATGGATCTAGAATCTTAACATGCATTAAACCCTAAGTGATCTCTGTGATTATAAGATCATCAAACATCTTGCATCAGCAAAATTATAGCAGGCATGCTTTATTTTCCAATCCCGTAAAATCTTCTAGGGCAACTTTTGCAGTACCAGCAAAATCATAAATCCAAATCTTCAATCTAGATTTGCAGATATATATATATATATATATTAGCAGTCCCTAATCATATCAAAATTCTCTTTGAACATCTTCAATGGAATATTGAGGGGGAGAAAATCAATGCAAGTGGTACTCATTTGATATAGAAGTTTATTCATTGAGCACGACAATACATGCATATATATATATATATATATATATATATATATATATATATACAAACACAAATATTATACACACATATAGACAATTAGTATCAACTATAAAAAATCTAGATTTGAAGCTTGATTTGTCACTTTTATTTTCAAAAAACTAAAAATTAAAAAATTGTAGAAAAACTCTATTTAGTTTACTTTTTAAAAAAATTATTTTTTAACAACTCAACTATAAAAATACTTATTTTCACAAAATTGTCTTTTATAATTATTTTTAAAAAATTTCTGTTTTTATAGTTACAAAGCAGGCCGACCTTAACATTATAAAAATTGTAATAAACCAAATTATTCAGTTAGGTTCTGTACTCTGCATTTTAGGGTTTCAATCCATTCAAATGGTCTAACTATATACATAAGATTGACATTTTAATATAATCATTTGAATACATATATAGTGTAAGTGACAACAACTACAAGTAATTTTTTAACATGAAAAGATGAAAATTTAATCTCTAGAGAGAGAAAGAGAACACCCCACCAATATTCCCGCTGTTTTGATAGGGAGACAAACGGACAAAACATGTTGTCACATCGACATAGTCTAATTTAATGTGGCATAAAAAAATATCCAAACCATACATTAAACTACATACTACTAGTAGCTTAATAACCATATAAAGAACAACCCAAAAATAGAAAAAATAAAATAAAAATGGTATAGTTTGAGTAGTCAAATTGTGTGAAACCTGTTTCTTGGTAAAATAAAATTATGTATCTCCAATGTTCCCTAAAACTGTTCACATTGCTTCTTCTTCTATTTGACATTGTGGTACACCAACCTATTTAATATACGTAGTTGTTCATCTAACTCTTAGATTGTCTCACCATCTAATATATTAATAGCCTAAGTCATACTCATTTAATCGTATAATAGACTCTCATCTAATATATATATATGTATATATATGTATACATCCACATTCATACTTAAACAATAGACTGTCATATGTACTTTTTTATATGTTATGTCAAGTAATACATTAGATTCTAGACACAGCTCTTTGATTTCTATTTTTTTTTGTTGAAAAAGTTGATTTATTTTCTTCTCTAGTGGAAATGTTTGACCTAAACCAAATAGATTCTAGACACAGCTCTTTGATTTCTATTTTTTTTTGTTGAAAAAGTTGATTTATTTTCTTCTCTAGTGGAAATGTTTGACCTAAACCAAATTGCCTCCAAAAGTTGATTTTTTTGCTTAATGATGTTCTTATTACTTTGGAATGTACCTACATAGACCATAAACCCCTCTCTCTCTCTCTCTCTCTCTCACACACACACACACAAATACATAGAGTTGACTCTCTTAGGCAAACTTTGAAGGTTTTTTTTAAGAATAATTAGACTTCTAGAAGATGCTTATGCTAATACTTTGGTAGGTAAGATCTAATTGTAGGATATAATAGACAAAGTTCAAAGTGTGAAGAATGTTAATGAATATTGGGTTTGCATTTTTAGATTAATTTTAATTAAATCCTTGTATTTAGGTTCAGTAGTGCATCTTCTTAAATATCTTTGCCGTTGAAAGTGAAAGCCACATGACATATTGCAGTTTTAAAGGGACAGGGAAATGGGTGAATAATAGCCACAGTTAGCCATCTACAACCAATACAACATAACAAATACACAAACATATATGCACAATGAGAGAGAGACTCTGTCCATAACAACAACGTTGTCGATGATTTATTGATAATAATATTAGGAGCACGACTATTTGTTGCGACAGTGGCCCAATACTCTCTTTTTTTTTCTTTTCTTTTTTTTTTCCCCTTGAAATTTAAGCAATTTTCATATAATATAGAAATTTACAAATGGAGGGCCTTAGGCCCAAAAAGGAAAAAAACAAGCCCATAGGCTGCAAATACAGGGCCAGCAAAAGGACAAAGCCCAGTATTGAACCAAGCCGAACACAAGATAGCATACAAGAAGCCGTTAATGGAGGCTCATCAATTCAGTCCGGTGACAACATTGGAGCGGCTATGCCACCTCAACTCAGTCTGGTGGCCCAATACTCATGACGAGAGAGTTGTGACACATTATCATTTAATGATGGATTCTACAAGGTTCTGTGAGCGTGTAACAAGGAGTATATATAAATAAATAAATAAATAAAATCAGCGTTAACAACTCCAAATCAACTACTATCTCTATGACGTTCCAAATTAGTTGTTCATTTTAAAGAGTCAAAGTAAATAAGTCTTATCCTTTCATTATTATCTTTTATATTTTAAAAAAATTTCAAACTCAGTAACTATACATATCTAAACTAAAAAGGATAAATTAATAATTTTTTTAAAAAAATAATATATTAATTACATATTTTTTAAAAAATTTTAATTTCTAAATATGTGGAGGAGGAGTACTTTACTAAAGAAAAAAAGAAACCTCCAAACTTGCTCATGCGAATAATTGAATTATTGAGTTGGACTTGTAGTGTCCACCCTTTAATAGGGGTAATTGGGTCCCGCTGAAAGAACCATGTTATCAAAAGTGAGAATGAGAGTGGAGAGATTGATGGCAAGTGTGGGGTCCATGATAGTTTTGGATGGAAATTTAGTGTATTGGGAAAAGGCAACAACATAAAAGGTAGGTACATCAAGTTGGAACCATATGTGGAGGTACTTAAATTTCTTTGATGGGGAGGTCCAACTCGCTTTTTGTTTGACCTTCAACTATTTACTCCCATGATTAAAAACCTATCTATGTTTATAAGGTTTAAATTTAATAACATGGGCATTTGTCACGTTTCTAAGATGGAAATATATATATATATATATATATATATATATATATATATATCAAAAGACACACGTGTGTTTAATAAAACGTGACATGAAAATAAAAAAATAAGTGAATATGAGAAAACTTCTTATTCTAAAATTAAATTTTAATAAGAATTCAACTCATTTCATCCCTAAGGAGTAAGAAACTTATATCAATGGATGAACAGGTAGAAGTATAGACCAGAAAAAATAAATAAATAAATAAATAAATAAGGACATAAAATAATCCAAAGCACAGGCTTTATTTGCAAAAGTACATTATAATATTTAAAGAAAACCACAATTCATCAAAAAATACAATGTAGTTAATCAAAATCTGCAGCCAAATAGAAGTAATCAGATCTGTAGCCAAACTATAGTATATTCTGATTCAATCCGGCCACAGAAAAGTGGTAGCGGTTGTTCATGTAAAAGCATAGTAGTCCAACCTGAGAGTAACTATTTGAAACACTAAAAACCTACCCATGATGGGCAGGTTAAGTTCAAGTTCAATCTATCTACCCCTCAGTATATCCATTCTCCACAAATAGGAGTTGTTCTCGCTCTTAACACACACCCTAGTGAAAAAATATCTGATACTTTTTACAGAAAAAAAGAATTTGGTTCACATTCTTCAGTCTACTACTCCTCATTTTGCCATCTACATTAAAACTGAGTCTTTAAGATGAGATCAGTGGAATGTTCTCCGTTGGCATTCACGATGACCCTCAGCTGTTGAGTTGTATCAGGCATAGGGATTTCGCTCGATAAATTTGTTGTTCTTGTCATGGCCTCCCTGGTACTCAGAGTTACAGAACCACCAAATACAAAGTACCAGACTTTTCTCCTGTTCCACTTATTTCTAACTGCAGCCTCGGGTAGCCATCTCACCATCTTTGCTACACATCCCAAATCTTCAAACGACATCAACGTGTACTGGGAGGTACTTGGTAATTCCTCCATCATCATTATGGCCTCTTCCTTGACTGCATCGTATGTCAGAGTTAATTCATCTATCTTCCTAGTCAATGTTTGTTGCTCCTCTCTGATTTTTTCTCCAGATCCTGCCTTTTCCAACTCCTTGTTAAGCTCTCTAACCCGTCTTTCCTTGCCATAGATCTCTGATGCAAAATGATCCACCGAAGAGCAAATTTTTCTTATGGGTCCAAAGGTCTTTCGGGTCCCCTGTCCCTGCGCATAAAAACCAACATAATTACATAACAAAAAAAACAAAAAACAAAAAAGCAGCTAACTAACAAAGAAAAGAAATAAAGCTACTACCTTCACACTCAATCTAAGCTGGAAGCCGAGTTCATTTGGGCCTTCAATTTGTTTGCTGCCTCCAGCTACCAGGTGGCCTTCATCACCTTCATACCCATCATCAAGGACCTCTTCCTCTATCATCAAATTATCCACAAAAGGTTCCTCCCAAGGAAGACCTTCCATATCAACAGCAACACGATAGGGATGAACGGTCAGTATATACTCTTCTTCCGGATTGAGAGCATACATATAAAGCAGTGTCGAAAGTACTCTTAGCGCTTTTGACACTGCTTCTCCATTAGGTGCTCTTACCTGTTCAAAAAAATATATATATAGAGAAGAACTTGAGAGTCCAAAACATTAAACCAATTCGAAACGGATAAATCTAATCTAATTTAACACAAAACCCACCTCAACCAAATTGTCGAAGTAGTACAAATATGAGTGACGAGGGTTGTTAGCGTCCATTCGGGTGAACTCGAACTCTGCCACCGTATTCTTTCTTATTTTCTTCAGGTTTCTTCCATGTTTCCCAATTACACGCGCTACTTGGCTTTGGGGAATTACCATCCTGATGCTGTTGGAGGGCAGACTACTGCATACCCTCATTAGAGCTTCCTGGGCAAAACACAACGGAGTTGTGTTTGCAAGGGCCTCCTTGAACGAGATGGAGTTCTTCTTCTCGATGACACACGAAATAGTTATTAGACTAAGTGTCTCATCAGTGGTTGAATCAGCAACATTGTCTACATTGACCCCTACTCCAGTATCACTACTGATTCTTTTGGCCGCCTTCTTGGTAAACTTCCCAGAGTATAACACCCTAAACTGAATAGTATGCATCCTGCAACTGAGTTGTTGTATTGAGAATTAATTGTCGAAAAAAAAAGATATATCAAGTGTGTGTGATGCTATCAACATGCAAACAACATAGCAAACAGAGAAACCAAACCACAACAATAATCTATTCAACAAAATGAAATGATTTCAATTCAGAAGTACTGAATGTTCATTGAATTGAACCATATACCTAGTTCAACTTACTCGGTATAAAGCAAAAAAGAGGACCTCAACAGTATTAAAAATTAAAAGAGAATTGACCGAGAAACCTAAAACAACCCAAATATGGTTTCTAGTTCTGTTCCTGTAAAGTACCAAGTAGAAAATAAGGACTAACTTGCAATAGTATCCAAGCAAATTCATACAAATGCTCACAAAGAAAATAGATTATTCCTAACTGCAAGCATGTGCTTCCCTCAATTTGAAGAATATACTGTTTGAACATCCTTAAATTCTAATTATTGAAATCTTCCTATGCCCTGCCATGTGTCGTGTCATTACATTACTTGTCTGACATATTTATAAATTAGTTACAAACCATGCCCATCATTTACATACTCCTTCAATTCAATCCAACAGCCAGCTCTGCATATGCATGATGTGGTCCCAGACTTAATTTTGTTATGCAATGGCCAAGCACTGCAATTGAAAACCTAATATTTCCAGAAATTGTCAAGACAACTTATGGCAGTCATGGAAAGGTACGCTTTCAATAGACATTTGCTGATATTACAGAGGCCAAAGCAAAGAGGGTGCAATACGAAGTTCCTATCATTTACATCATCTGGGGGAAGAAGTACCTGACACTCATAAGGGGATGCGTCCTACCAGTGTAGATAGCTTGTAGAGCCGGGAGCACATAAAGGGTGCAAAACGAACAATATCTACACAGTGTGGGCAGGTCTTACCATATGGTATCAAAGCCAATTTGTGCCTTCAGACAAAATCCAAACAACGTTGGGGCGGGTTTTGACAAGTCTCAACTAAATCACAACAAGGGGTGGGAGTTTGGAGGACCCTCTCTCAGCACCACCACAAAGGAACCATTTTGGTCACAAAATGGATTTTATTTAGACACAAATAAGACAGCCCAGAAATCCCATCAACCCCATTGTGATCATTTTGATCACTGAAAGAAGAGAGACAAAATGAAACAAATTATATTCTAATGCAACGACGACAGCATGGCTGCAGAGTACCCTCTACTTAATCACCTCTCAGGGTGGATCGGAGAATCCACCTCCAAGTCCTATTGGAGCCTAGAAGCAGATTTTCCAGCAACCAGAAAACACTTTGGTTTTAAATTGAACTGGTTTCTGAAACACTAATAGAAACTCAATGATGCTTTGATAGGCATTAAAACATATACTAGAACCAGATTCCAACAGACAAAAAGCAGTTCAGCAGATGGTGACCTAATAATAATCATGCTTAGAGTAAGCCTAAACCTAATTTGAATATTTGTAGCACTAAATGTTTATACAACAGCTAATTTAAGATGGAACATAAAAATACCGATTACACATTCATTTCAGAAATCCTGTAAAAACCAAACACAAAAAGACTAAACACCAGAAATAAAACCACTAGAATTGATAAAGAAACCAAAATACAGATTACACAAACATTTCAGAAATCCTGTAAAAACGAAACAAAGAAACACAACAAATAGAACTAGAATGTCATAAAGAAACCATGATATATCAATTAAATAATTATATAGACACACACAATAGATATATTCACATGCACTACAGATCTATGCGTCACAAAAAAATAATAATAATAATAAATAAATAAATAAAAATAAACAACAATAAGAAACCATGATATATCAATATACCGATTACACATCCATTTCAGAAATCCAGTAAAAACGAAAAAATAAAACACAAGAAACAAAAACACAAGAAATAGAATCATAAAGAAACCATGATATATCAATTAAAATAATTATATAGACACACAATAATATATATATTCACATGCACTTCAGATCAAATAAAACAACAGAACCGCAACAAGAAATTACACAACAATAAGAAAATCACTAAAGAACATGAGTGATTTACCAGAAAAGCTCAAATCGAAGACGACGATTGATGAGATTTAGGAGAGATCGAGTGTGTGTGTGTGTTTTTATGTTATACAGAGAGCTGAATTGATTCAAAGTATGCGTCAAAACCAAAAAAAAAAAAAAAGAAGAAGAAGAAATTACACAACAATAAGAAACCATGATATATCAATATACCGATTACACATTCATTTCAGAAATCCTGTAAAAACGAAACAACACAATACACTAGAATGTCATAAAGAAACCAAGATATATCAATTAAAATAATTATATAGTATATATATATATATATATATATATATATATATATTCGCATGCACTTCAGATCTATAAAACAACATAACCGCAACGAGAAATTACACAACAATAAGAAAATCCCTAAAGAACATGAGTGATTTACCAGAAAAGCTCGAATAGAAGACGACGATTGATGAAATTTTGGAGATATCGAGAGATTGTGTGAAATGAGTGTTTTACCAGAAAAAACTCGAATCGACGACGACGATTGATGAGATTTACGAGAGATCGAGTGAGTGTGTGCGTGTTTTCATGTTATGCAGAGAGCTGAAGAAGGGCTCGCAAATTGAATGCTCTCGGTAGTTAATATATTTTACGGTTAATTACAATGAACACCCCGATACCTTTGAAATGACAGTCTTAGCCCTAATATTTTGGGGATTAATGCCGTTAATGTCAGAAAATTACTACCCTCATTTTTCTCTCCTCTTCCCTAATTGAGTTTCTTTGCTTCGTTTAGTTAGACGAAATCAACTAGAAAAGAAAGAAAACAGAAAATTTTTAAATTTTTTGTGAGTTTGAATAGATGGAAAAAGAATCGTAATATTTTCTTGTGAAAACGGGTTCTTTTTATTTGAAGTTCTTATTTTTTCCAACAACTGAATTATATAAAATAATTAATTTCTTTATTTTTTAACTAAGTTTCTTTTCTACTAGAGGAAGTTAATTTATATTTTAGTGGACTTCTAGAAGACAACTTCTCTCTAAACATGTTCTGTTACAATACTATTTGGATGATTTTTTTTTTTTGGTTCCAAATATATACATTGTATCATATATATTATACACCTCTATTATATATAGACAGAGAATAAGATATATATATATTTTCTCTTTTTGTGTTCTCTAGTTGAAAGCCCAGTCCATGAGCCCAAATTTTTTATTTTTATTTTTATTTTTATTTGTAAGCTTCCTTATTTCTCTTAAATGAATAGATAGTTCTGCTTCTATGGTTCTACTATGATGTCTTGAAGTATTATTTTAATATAAATAATTATATTATTAAATTTTAATAATTCATCATTTTATTAAAACTTTGAATAAAATAAATATCATCAAATACAAATTTATTTTTTTTTTTAGTATTTGAAATCATAAGGGTTATTTTGGTATGCCCAATCACTTTATTTTCATTTTCATACTATCTAAACTAACAAACTAATATTTTTATACAATTTTCCTCAATAAATTTTCATACTAACCAAATACTTCATAGAAAATAACTTTTCTTTTCGTTCACTTCACTTTTTTTTCATTTTCCATTTCTTTTCTTTTCTTGCTTATTTCTATCTAATCAAACGGGGGTCAATTTGGTGCAATGGAAAGGAAAGGGAAGGTGATGGAGGGGGATTAAAAATTTGTGTTTGGCAAAACTTGTTGGAAGAAAAGGGAAGGGTTTAGGGGCTTAACACAATGCCTGAACAATGTTTTGCTTTTCCTCCCAAAAATGGGAAGAAAAGGAAAGAAAGTGAAGGGAAGGGTTGATATATTATTTATGATGCCTAATTTGCCCTCAATATTACATATACATACAAGTTAGCAGTTGCAGAAAGAGTGAGAGGCGGCCAGTGGCTGAAGCTTGCGAAAGGTGAACCCGAACTGGAACAGCGGCGATGGAAATTAAAAGATATGGGTTTTGATTTTCTGATCAATCTGAAATGATATATCGATACGGGTTTTAAACTTTTGATTTACAGATAGATAAACTGAAATATATGGGATTTGAACTTCTGATTCTTGTAGTGCACAGAGAGAAAGAGAAAGAGGGCAAGTTTAAAGTTGAGAACGAGAATATAGATGGAGACGGAGAGATTGGGGAGGCTGAAATGATTTGCCCTAAATTTTGTTTTTTCTTTTCTTGTAGCCCATCATCCATGTGCGCACAGAGGCCATTTATTACCTTTTTTTAGGAGGTTGCTAAAATTTTGCTATTGCAATATTTTTAGTACTAAATATATAAATATAAAAAGGGTATGTACCTGTTTGTGTGTGTTAAATGTATAACTGATAATATATATATATATTCCTTTTAAAATAAAAAAGGCTATAATAGTAAAATTTTTAAAATAATTTTCTTTTCTTTCATTTCCTTTCTTTTCTTTTCCTAAACATAATTATTATATTTTACTTTTTTTTCTTTCATTAATCAACCAAACATGATGGAGGGTTAAAATTATACTTCCCTTCCATTTCCTTCCCTTTACCTTATAACTAATGTTATCCTTCCCCTTCAAACCTATCGTACCAAACATAGCCTAAAAGTAAGTAATATATATATATATATATATATATATATATATATATATATATATATAGGGTTTATTACTCTCGAATTAAACATATGACATTCTTTTCAAGTTTGACTCTTTTATCAAATAAAATGTCTAAATTACATGTCACCCCATGTTTTATCTCTTACACATCTCCATCCTTCCATGGCTATCATGTGCCACCTAAACCTCCTCCACCAAGGGCCCTTACATTTAAATTTATGTAATGTTGTATTTGGAAGCATTTTAGCTTAAATTTGAGATTAAAAAAATTTTAATCCGAATTTTATACTAAAATTTTATCAATCTTAAATCCAAAACACTAGTTCAGAGCGCCAAATATAAAGAGAACGAAATATTTCTTTGGAAATTTAGCATAAAAATGCATACAAAGAATTTTTGGAACATTCAGGAGGCATATTCATTTTGATTTTCTTCTTTTGTATATAAAACATTATACAGGGAAGGTATAAAATTGGCACGATTGATATGCACAAATATTTATAGATTGAGTCTAAAAATAAAAATCAATTTACCTAGGTAATAAGAATAATGGGTTAAGTGCAAAAAAATCCTCCTTTTACTATAAATTAGTACAAAACAGTCCCTATGTAAAAAATAAAAAAATAATAAAAAATAAAAAAATAAAATAAAAAAAAAAACTATACTGTCAATTTGGTGCAAATACCCCCATTGTGACTTAAAAAGACTGTAATGCCCTCATGTAATTAGAATAAATTAATAACTAAATATGTATGCAATATAAAATGACCATTTTGTGCAATTGCCAAAGGAGTTTGTCTGGGACCAGAATAAAGCAAATCCCATTTTGTCTATACCAAACAACCAAACACTCTAGCTCTGGGATCAGAAATAACCAACACCAAACACTAACTTTCTGCTGTGTCTCACCAATTTAATGAAGGAAAGTGTCTTCGGAACATCTTGGTCTTTGTAGTTCGACGAAGTTTGTATCGATTGAATCAAAGAGAGCTTGCGGGCTTATTTGCTCTAACTCGACACTGGAGCTTTTGTTGCCCTTAAATAAATCACACCGGAGTTGTTCAATCTTTGAATCAAGCTCGCCGGAACTGTTGATGCAGAATGAAACTCGTCGAACTTGTTCATGTAGATCGCCAAAAAGATATAAGGTGGAGCTCGCTGGTTCTTGTCGGTTTCTTCTCGTTGAAGTTTTTGGGTTTATCAAGCTCAGTTGGTCGTTGGGGACGATGGTCACGGATTAGCTTGGTCGGTCCGTACCCTTAACCAAGCACGAAATTCCAATTTCCCACATTGAGCAGTACTTCACTTAAGGTAAGAAATGTATATGAAAAACCCAATCCTAGTTTTCTTTCATATATCAACCAACCTTGAAATGCACCTTCCTAAAAGGTATGTCCCCATTTTAAACCTCTACAATTTGAAAAAGCAAACAAATAAAAACTGAACAATAACACCTGCTAGTATATTACCTATAATCAAATTGATGAAGATAAAATATAAATAAGACAATATTTAAAGATGATGTAATGGTTCATTGGATTGGAACTTAACCATTTTGCTCACTACTCTTCTTATGATCAGCATAAACACCAATTTTTCTTGAAATGACTTTTGCCTCCATCTTTATTTAAAAAACCAAATTAGTCGTGTCTAAGAATTAACATTTAAACCCACGTTCATTGATCTTTAATCTCACTTGAGTTGTGGCACGACGGATTAAGTGAAGCTCATGGGACTTGGAAAATATATTATTTAAATCTCTGCTATTGCCGACGTGAAGCTCACAGTTGGGTCATTGCTTAAAGCTTTCCGATCACTTGGTATTTCGTTGTGCTGGGTCGTTGATGCAATTTCACTGTGGTAGTCTCTTTATCAATTCTCGACGCTGAAGGCTTTCTCGGTTGGTCTTCAAATATGTCAGCTTTTGATCGCCGGCATCATGATCACTGGAGTTGCCTCTTCTGTGCTTTTCACACTTTTAATTGATTTATCCATTTCCTTCCAAGAGAGCACTACACGGTGACCTATTATTTGGGAAATAACTTTGATAATGCACGCTTGAAAAGTCTTGTAATACGTACTCCATCGCTGCACAGATTCCGTCCAAACACCGTCGCCGCATATTATGCGCATGATCATCGACGTCGCATAAGATTGTCGCCACTACAAATCGTCACCATTAGGTGTGTCGAAAGTTCACCGGAATAGTTTTTCATGGCTACCCACTCAACTACGGCACACAGAACTGGATCCCGTCATAACAAAACAATATATAAATATATATATACACACACCAAGATGACATTTAATTCACAATATATATAATAACACAAAATAGGAATTGCATTATGGAAGGGAAGGATAAAGAGACTAAGAGAGAGTGAAGATGGCATAATGTGAGGGGTAAAATGGGAAGGAAAAAGGACAAAATCGAACTTTCATATTTACTTTTTGTAAAAAAGTGGTCAGATGGGCTTATTTGCACCTTTTTTTTATTATTTTATGGACTAATATACACATTTTTCAAGAAGTAGGAACTAATTTAACACAAATTTTAAATATGGTGTTTTTTTTTTTGCACTTATCCATAAGAATAATAAGCTCAACAATGGCTTTTTAAGCAATTTGGGTTCATTTTGGCAACCCAACTCCATTGTGGGTCATCAAAATTGGGCCACGTCATTTGGATCAGAGCATATTAAGGGCGTGTTTAGCTGGGAAATTTTTTAAAAAAAAATAGTTTTTTTGGCTTTTTTTTTTCCGCAACATAATTGAACCAAAGAGTTGTTAAGGCATCATTTGGCTGACACAAACAATGTCTTAAAAGCTTTTTTAGGCAAAAAAAAAAAAATGGAAAAAAAATGATTTTTTTTTTTTCCTTTTTAAAATTTCCAATGTTCCTACCTACATATAGTCGTTTTATAATCTATATGTTCACGCAATAACTCAAGCTTCCCGTGAGATTAGCTGGAATGTCCCATATGATTGTTGTTATTTCCTAGTTCATTTTAATAATGGTATTGTATTATTATTATTTTTTAAATTCATATCGTATTGTATTATTTTAATTTTAATAATCTAATAAATAATGTATTGTTTAAATTTTTTGTATAATATAACCATTAGAAATATAGTCAATAGGGAAAAGTTAAAAGAAAAAAAATTGTTAAAATTTTAAAAAATACTAAAATATTAATATTTTTAGATAGCTAAAACGCATTATTGGAGTACATATGATAAATAAAATTTGGAAACTTCAAAACGCTAATGTAGCTCTCGAAAATATTGACGTGGCATTTGAAAAATACTAACGTGACAAATCTAGAGACCCAAATTTTAGAGACTCCATTGGAGTTGCTCTAAAGACAAGTTTGATTGCAACCTCACATTTGCCTTGTAATAAAATTGGGATAGCATCTAGCAAGTCATAAACATTTTGGGTACATCTTTGAGTCATAACACAATCTGTTTGGGATTGCTTTTTTACTGCTTAAAAGTACTTTTATTTTGAAAAATTGTGTAACGTAATTTTATGGATTAAATAAATGAAATTATTATAATTTTATTTATTTTATTTTGGTTTTAGATTAAATAATTATATGGTCGTTTTTTGGGCTGGGATTTATTTGGCTTATTCATGAGGATCCCATGGGCAGCTCTGAACCCCATGTGGGCTTTTTTGGTGGGCTTTCTTTGTTAGCTTATTTGTGGGCTTACTTTCTCAGATTATTTTGATTAGGCAGACTAAACTATATGCATAGAGAGAGCAGCGAAACAGAAACCCTTTATACACTTTAATCCGTGGAGGAGAAACTAGGAGATGGTTGTTACCCTAGGCCAAAGGCTTGAGAATACCGAAGTTGTTGCCTTATAATCACGAGGTAAGAACCTTTCTTTTATTTTCCTTTGGACCTATAATACTGTGTTTGGTGTGCGGGAATTGAATGAATTGTAAGGGAGAATGGAATGAGAATGGGAACCATTCTATTATTTGTTTGTAACATAAAATGTGTAAGAATGGAATTATAATAACCATTCTAGTGTTTAGTTGGACCAATTTTAAATTTAGAATGGAATAAATTTCAAATTGAGTTGTCCAAAATATCCATATTAGTAAAAAATAAATTAAATTAACAAAATGACATTCTTCTATAACTTTTTAAAAATAAATGGTCGTAGTGATGGTGATGGAGGTGGAAAGCGGTAGTGGTGCAGGTGATGGTGTTGGAAGCGATGGCGATGGCGATGGTGGAAGGCGGCGGTGTTGGTGAAAGGCAGCAGTAGTGGAATGCGATGGGAAAAGTATTGGTGGTGGTGGAAGGAGATAGTGGTGTAGGTGGCGGTAGTGGAAGCCAATGGAGGTGACTGTGGTGGTGGTGGAAGTCAGTGGCGGTGGCGATGGTGAAAGACGATTGCAATGGTGGTGCGGTGGTGGAAGGCGGTAGCAATAGTGGTGGTGGTGGTGGAAGGTGATGAAAAGCAGTGGTGGTGGTGAAAAATGATGGCGGCGGTGGTGGTAGAAGGTGGTGAAAGGCAATGGTAGTGGTGGTGGCTGCAGCAGCGACGGTGGCGATGGTGGTGAAAGGTGGTGGTGGAAGGCGGTGGTGGTGTAAGACTGTGGCGGCAATGGTGGTGGAAGGCGGTAGCTGTGGTGAAAGAAGGCGGTGGTGGTAGAAGGTGGTAGAAGGCGATGGCGGTGGTGATGAAAGGTGGTGGTGGTAAAAGAAGGTAATGGTGGTGGTGGAAGGCGGTGGTGGTGGTCAGCGGCGACGGTGGTGGTGGTGGTCAGCGGCGGCAATGGTGGTGGTGAAAGGCGATGATGACAGTGGTGGTGGAAGGCGGTGGTTGTGGTGAAATGTGGTGGTGGCGGTGGTGGTGGAAGGTGATGGCGATGGAAGGCGATAATGGTAGTAGTGGAAGGTGGTGGCGGTGGTGAAAGACAGTGGAGCTAGTGGAAAGGCGGTGGCGGTGGTAGTGGTGGTGAAAGGTGGTTGTGGTGGAGGTGGTTGTGGGGGAAGATAATGATGATTTTTGGATTTGGAATAAAAGAGTTTTTTGGAAAGTTTGATTTTTTTTTAAAAAAAAAAAAAAAAAAAATTATTTGGGAATGGAATGGCCATTCCATAAGTTTAATTGTTAAATAGATTTTAATTTATAGAAATAAATTTTAATTTCAATGGAATGATCATTCCCATTTTATATTACATACTAAACAAATAAATGATTAGAGAATGGGCATTACATTCCATTGTATTCCTGCATATGAAAGCAGCATAAGAGTTTCAGCTCAAATTTGAGTACCAGCACAACAATGAACGGTCGCCGTCGTTGACTTTGTGAAAGCAAAGGCCACAACGGGATATTCTCTCTCTTCCTCGCATGCATAGTTTCCATAGTATTTCCGTATCCCATCCAAGCAAACCAAACCTCAATTAAATGTGAAACAAGTCATGAATTCAAAAGCTTAAAGGTTCAAGACAAAGCCCCCCTGACCCAATCCACTGTCACATCCTCATAGGCACAACAAACAAAGCCGGCACCGGCCAATGGCACCACTTTCCAAACCCAATTGCCACTCAGCCATTATATGGTCTGCATTTGTGTTTTGGAGCATTAATGATCAACTTGGGTAGGCCCATTTGTTAAAGAATGATGGATCGATGAAGGGGACAAGAATAACACTAAAACAAAGGACGAGGAGAGACTGAAGGGCTGTTTCTACTTTCATAACGAGTTAAGAGGGGTCTTAAAAAAAAATAAATAAATAAATTAGCCTTAAGTGTATTTTGAAGTTTTTATTAAAAAATAAATAATAATCAAAATTGACGTCCAGTGACAATTTGCTCCAAATTTTAAAAATACAAGAATTATATGCGCACAATAAATAATAAGGGCTATTTCTTGCAAATTCTGTATAGGGCAAGGGAGTTTTCTACCCTTTATCCTATATCTAAAATTATAAACTGCAAAAGGGGAAAATGGAGTGGGAAAATGAAAAGGTGGACCAGACTTTCATGATAAGAATAATGGAGTACTAAGACACCGAACAAGTTTGGAAAATATAAGTATTAGCCACATATCCACATGCCAAACTTTATCCAAAAAAAAAAAATTAAAAACACTTTTGAAGGAAAAGGATTGGAGTCATGATGTTGGTATGGAGTTCTCTGCACTCACCTAAAATCCCATCCTGGAGGTCAAGAGTTCGAATCCTTTTAGAGGTGGACAAAAAGACCACACGTGTCTGGTGATGAATTATGGGGGTGCATATATATTATACAACATTCCCAACAACAATAAATATATAAATATTATTAATACAGTTCAGAGTCACCGCCTGACTACGGATGTGTCCACAAAGAATATCCTCCCTGGATGGAACACGATAATTTCAAACTAAAGAATCACTAATTCAATAGTTGCAGGTAATCTTGTTTTTAGCCACTCGGCACGCTTTCTAGCAGGTTCCATTATCTTGGCAGGATAAAAGGTAGGACGAGGGTCAATAATTATCTTCTCAAGTGATGCGGCAATCTCAATTAAGTGCAAAAGAAGATCAATTTCCTTTCTACTCCCAACAAACCCAACCAATTCCACCACCTTGAGGCATTGATGATGACATTTAGTGTACTTTTTTTCATAATTATCCGCACTTGCTCCATCCCAAGACATTAACTGCCACAAACCGCAAGAAAATGCATTATTTACTGAAAGTGTTTAGAATATAACATAAATTTTTTTTATAAGATCATTCTGAAACAATTTAGAATACCACTTAAAACATTAAGTACTGCTTAATTGAGGCTAAAATTTCAAGGGACTGGAGGTGCCCGTGGTAGGGTTTTTTTTTTTTTTTTTTTAAATATATATAATCACCAATTGATCCTCAGGATCTTTATCATTTGCCGAGAAACCTCTCAAGATGTTATGTATGTATGTATATAATATATATATATATAATGTGATAGAATAGATTTGCCACATACCTAAAATTTGATAGTGTGATGGAAGGTTATGATAGAATGATATTCTCATATTTGAACACACCAATACACAATTACTAACTAAATTATTTTATCACATAGGGAGCTTGGACGATGAATGAATCAAATTGTTTATATGGCAAGTAACCAGAGTGTTTGGTCGATGGATGTAATTGTTTGGATATAATTGGTTAGATGGTAACTAACACTTAAAAAATAAGATATTTTATAGAATGTGGATAGTTGAGGATTTGTAATTTGAAGCTCCTCCTAATATTATTTTTTAAAAAAAGACCTTGACATTCTCTGAACATATGATTTATTTAGGTCTCGTGTTCAAATTTTTATATGTTTAGCTTGTTTTAACAGTTTTCAGAAATTCACTTTTAAATTATGTTAATGGACTACTGTTTGAAGAATATTCATTATTTAAGTCTGAATTAGTCTATAATCAGTTTTGACATTAATATCCATTGTAAAATTGATATAATTCTTTGGGTGAGATTTATTGTTTCATAATATATATATATATATATAGTATCTTGGGTAAATTACAGACCTAGCTTTGTTGAATGCCTAGATAACAGGGATCTTCCCTATGGATTAAAAAATAACACTGCTATTAGTGTTGACTTTGACCAAAAGGTGTTAAATGACAATTATACCCATTCGACTTTTATAATTATTTATCATTACAACATATGGACAAAAATGCCTTTCAAGCTGTGTAAGGACAAAATTGGGTTCTAACTAACTTCTAAGTAAATTTCAATTGTGACATGAACAGACAATAACGACGGATTTTATGATGGGGGAGGTCATTGTTACTCCGACCAGAACTATATGGGAGATCAATGATATTTTTGAAACTAAAAGGGAAGGTCCTGTTATATAGGCACTCAACAGGTGAGGTGAGGTCACTGTCATTTTCCGTAATATCTTTACTAGTATATTTCTTATAAAAAATTTGTTAGAATAAAATATATTGAAGGTAAAAATGTAACTAGTACAATATTTAAATATCAATTTTTGTATTTTACAAACAATCTTAATAAATTCAGCAGCTAATATCAAACATGTTTTTAAATTAATGCATTCAGCACTTAAAATTTCAGCACTTAATTGTTTTTTCACCCCCCCCCTCTTAATATGTTGAATTTTAGGGCTTAAAAGTCGGTACTTAAAATTTTCAGTTTATCAAACAGCACCTTGGAGCTTTAACAAAAAACACTCGGACAACCAGTAAAGAAATGTAATTTTAAGTACCTTGTCAATCTCCTGTCTAATATTCAGTGTCTCTCTGGATATTGGATATAGATTCAGCTGCCACAAAGGAAGATAGTAAGATAAAAACTTGTTTACACAAGAAAATAACATCAAATAAATAAGAGCAATCTACAAAACAAATTAGAAGCTAGAGCAATGGTTGGTTTACAAGAGAAGATTTGGTTGAAACTAAATTACACGTTGTTTTGCACTGTATATGAAAGGAGTCAGTTGTAACTAATGACAAGAAGAAATTTTCTTTTCCAAGATAATTTTCTAAAAGGTTTTCAAAAAATCAGCAAATGAACTCAATTTTACATTCCCATGGTGATTGAACTGATCATCCATCCCCGCAATGAAGCAGGTTTGCATTAGAAAAGAGTAAGGCTGCCTGTTAACCACCTCACTCAGATTCTGCTCAGTGCAGGAACCTTGTGTACAGGTGACCTTTTCTTTCCTTTTTTGAATGGTGATTCAGGTAATACCAATGGGGTATGCAACAAACTATTGTCATCAAAAGCAATGTCACAAATAAAAGAATTCCATCAGGAAACACCACCACAATTTTAGACCACCACAATTTTACTATTTTCAGTATGGCTGCATAAACTGATCCCAATTGCTTTAACGGGTATTATTTTTTAATTGCAGGGAATGTGTAGAAACAAAGGGGTTGTAGAGGAACAATTTAGGTGTCCTTGTTGTTCCAATGTATCAAGATTCAAGACTCGATCTTAAAGGCCAACCTAAGCAAGATTGAGCTTATCTCCATCAATGAGGCCGGAGATGTGAAGAATCTTCCAATGAACCTTAAGTGTACAATCAGTACCCTCTTCATCTCCTATATGTATCTTCCACTATTTGCATGGAGACATTTGTTGAGATATTTCACAAAAGATTTTTAAGCAAAGTCATCTCCTGAAAACAAAGAGACTCGCTATCATTGTACATTATCAAGTTACAAGGGTGGAATGAGGAAATTATCATTTAGTGAACTAGGGTATTTTGCGCTTACGGTTAGATCAATCAACCCTTGTCAAGAAAATGGATGTGAAGAATATATCGGAAGAGAGAATTTGCAGCATAGACAGGTGGAAGAAGTATTGTAGCACTTGGACAATGAAGGTGGCAGATTTCTAATGGGATGGGTGTGAGTCACAATTTGATAAAGTACTTTGTATGCAAATTCATCTACTGGTAAGGAACTGCAACAATATCAGTTATCGCATAAGGTATTACGTGGAGTGGTCTTGTAGGGGAGGTTCTCATAACTATTAAGAACTGTAGTGCACATAGAAGCATCAGGTTCAAAAATGACAAGTCGTCCCAGATTCATGAGTGTCCTCCATAGCTGGGAGTTGAGATTTGTGGTGCTATGATGGGTTATGCTTCAGGGCATCAAGGATTAAAGATCTGGGCAGGGGGAAGGCAAATAGATGTGTCGTCTTCTTTCTACCAAATTATTTCTAGAGGAGCCAATCTGGGCGCCCCTGAAAAAAGTATTTGGTCTATAAACCTTCTTTCAAGTGTGGCATTCTTTCCCACAGGAGGTAGCAAACAGTTATGTACACGCTAGGGGCAAAAGGAAACAATTTTGTAGGGTCTTATTAGGTTTACAGTGTATTATGTGGAAGTTCACAATATTCCCAAGAGTTGGAGAGTAAGTTGAGTGCTAGCATGAAGAGAAAGATCATTGGCCATAGACGGAAAGAGACGAGAGGACGACCCAAATTATAGTGGGAAAATCTATTAGAAATTATTTTAAAATGTTAAATGTGTTAGGTGAGATATCGTGTAAAATAAAATAAAAAATAAAAAATAAAAAATAAAGAATGGAAAAAAGCTTACCACATCCATATTGAATTAAGGCAAGGATGATGATGATGATGATGATGATTGGAGAGTAAGTTGTCTTCTGGACACTGAAAGGGAGGTGCTCGAGGCTTGCTCCCCCGTGTCTCGTGGTGGTGACAGTGGTGCTATGGTATGAACAGGGTAAGTAACACAATTAGAAGGGATGGTGTACTTGCAAGTCCATGGATGAAGAAACTTTTCCTAAGGCCTATATTCTTGTAGTAGTAGAGACTACTAATTCAGTTAAAACTCTTTGGTAGAGTTTTGATGAACTGTGTAACTTCTGCTTCCGCCGCTTTTTTTTAGCTCTAGTATACCTCATAGTCTAGTAGGTTTTGCCATCCTCTTGGGGCACTTAAAGTGAAATTATATTAAAGAAGTTCTTCAAAATAGCCTAGAAGTTCTCAGTAAACACTGTCGTTACATTAATCCATGCCCAATAGACTTTGCTGTTATACAAGAACAATTACCTAATTGTAGCCATAAGATTGAAATATAATTTCAAAACCCTAGAGAGGTACTTTGATAGAGAAACCTTCTACCATGGAAAGAAGGGTTTACGAACAAAGCGGTAGATGTTACTCATTTACTAAAATGATCTAATTTCACAATGCATAAAAGCCACATAATCAATCTTTCTCCTTTCAATGTACGAAGGAAACAAATCATTTAAACGGAGAGAGAATAATGGAACAACGAAGTCTTATAGCGCTTTCTTTTTTATGGTAAATTCGTAAAACTTAATATACTTGAGAGGTTACACCAATCGATGCATATTTCAATTTCATATTTTTTTTAATGTACATGTGTGCTTTGCACAGCACTTGATAAAAGTTTCTCAGCCAACTAATCAACCCAAAGTTCAAAAATTTTAAATAGTCTGGTCAAAAAAAAAAAAGTACTTGGCAAGGTGAAAAAACAAAAAGGATAGCAATGTAGTACGCCAAAGAAAAAAGAGTAATTACAAGTGGATTAACCAAAAAATTACCGACACCTGGGCTCAAGAAGGACTACTTCACCAAATAATCTAACTTTTAGATTTTAACAAAATTACTCTTCTTAGGCCTAATGCCTTCCAAGCCCACTATGATATCATAGCAAACTCACTTCAAACATTTACTAAGGCAAACACAATACAAGAAGACATCAACTACAACCGAACGTCTAATCTGAGCCACTCAATTGTTCAACAAAAGCCCTTCACCTTGATCTCAGGCATTAACCTTTTAAAATGCCATTTGAAAGATTTTCATCACACATTAGCTGTGTCCTATCAATTATACTTTTCTTAATATCTTATTGCAAACATCATGCCTTGTCTTCTTATCTCTATAAATTTAAATAGACTTTAAATTCATTATAATATAAAAAATTAAAAATAAAAACACACAAATAATAAAACTTCCTTCAGCAAATAAACCTTTAACTACAAAGAAAGGATGCTTACCCAAACAGAAAACTTAGACAAATTGGGAGACGCCTTAATCACAGAAGTGCAGCAAATAAGGCTGCGACCTGCAGGTCCTCTGATAACCAATTCCACTTGCTTGACATTAGATAGCTCCGGCAAACAAATGGGCATCCTAATTAAGTCCTAAACAAAAGCAAACACAAGTTCATAATGTTTTATAAAAAAAAAATACAATCACGAAAAAATTGTGTATTCTAACCTCAGTAGACAAAATTAACTTAAGCTTTTTTATTTGAGGAAAATAGCTGGAATGCTTCCAGGATCCAGAAACAACGGATGAATGGTATTCTCCCCCAATTGATAGCTCAGAGAGAAGAGGAACGTTTCTGAAAGTCACACTTGTATCTGGTCCAATGTATGTGAATGAAACAAGATTTATGGCAGAAACTTCCAGATTTTCCAATTTCTGGCAGTTACATATCTCTAAGCACTTCAATTTGAGTGATGGGCCAGCAATTTTTAGATTCACTAAACATATTGAACCCACCACACATAATTGTTCAAGAAATGGACAGTTGGATAGGAAATTCTCCAACACCTCCTCCTTGATATTAACACTAACCAAACGAAGGGCTGTTAGGGAACGAAAGCCAGAAGAACCAACAGTCCGTGACACATGATGACCATGTGAAGTCCTGTATTTCAGGGTGTTTGAACTCGGTAAGATTTTGAACTTTTCCATGCTTGGAAAATCGTAAGATTGATAAAAACAGGTCCATGTGCCAAGCGAAACATCCAATTCGAACCTTTGGACACCCTTTTCCATTGCAAACTTAATCCAATCACTGATGTCGCGAGGGTAATGCGATTGGAAATCAAAAGAAATCTTCATTTCGTCTATACAGGTGCCGCGATGCAATTTCAAGACATCATTCACCCAACTTACATATCTAAGCCTTTCGAGTTCAACTGATGAAGTATCCTCTGCAGGAGCTCGTAATGTCTTTGAATCGAAGTTCAAACTACCAGTTATATATCTCCATAAATATCTCCATCTGCGGGAGAGAATACTAGTACATGCTGCTTCCTTAAGGGTCAAAAGAGACAGGATGGCAATGAGGATTTCGTCTGGCAATCGATTAATTTGATCCGTCATATGCTCTTTTCTCTGGACAATTCGATCTTTCATATGGTTTTTTCTCTGAACATCCAAATAATCATAAACAAAAGAAAAAGAAACACCATCAACAAAAATAATGGAAACTACTACTCTACTACAAATTTTAAGGGCCACCACACATACATCATGTCACGGTTGGGAAAAAAGAAACAATACAAACAAAAGTTCCCATACGCTTGGAGAATAATGAATATATATTCATGAAAAAATAAATAAACATTTTTAACAAGTTAAAAAAAATAAAAAGTGTACTACTTTGTCAAAAAATTAATAACCACCACATTAACAATAACCCCAAAAGAACATACTGCTGTTTATGTAAGCAATGAATTATCTTCTTGCATTTAACTTAATTCTATAAGGATTAAGTGTTTTATGTACAGTAACCTCACCTATAACTTAAAATTCAAAAAAAGTATCAAAAGATTTGAACTTTAAACTATTACTTACAAGCCTCGGAACTTAAAATTCAACTTATAAAAAAGTGGAAGTGAATGTTCAAAGATTTGAACTGGAAAAAGATATAAATAAATAAATAACAATTATTGACAAGAATTAAACTTTTCCTGACAAAGAATAAATCTTTGCGGGCGTTTGGAATAGAACTCACCTTCTGTTTCCGTTGCTTAAAAGAAGAGGGACGCCGAGCCCACTTCCTCATCTTAATGATGTCTATGCCGCTCCTCATTCGATATTCAGTTTATACAAGCTGCAAAGTAGGTTCAGAGCAATAATCACAAGCTAAGACTATAAGCTTGTACCAAATCACAGTGGAAAAAAATTCTAACTATCATATTCATCACAGCATGAAGGTGAGATCTCAGAATTAACTTGATCTATGCTAGATATATGCCTAATCAATAGAGATACTTTTGCTCTATAATACGGAGATAATTTAGATAAATATCTGCTTCCTTGCTAGAATCATTCACAGATCTCCCCTTATTTGCCTTCGCCTAAAAAAAGAATAAAACAAATAATAATAATAATTCAGAAATTTATTTTTATCAGATCCATAATTAAGAGAGAGAGAGAGCATTCAAGGCAAAAAAGAGAGACTTTTTATTTTATTGGTAATCAAAAGTCTCTATAAATACAAAGAAAATCATTCAGAGATCTTCCCTGATTGCTTTGGCCAACAAAAAAGAACAAATCAAATAATAATAATAACTGAGAAGTTATAAAATCAATATATATATATATATATATATATATGCGCATAGGGAGACTAGACAAAACATCAGCGCAAGCCAAAGGTGGGTAGTAAATCACCCTGTAGATACATATTGTTCTATACCTGCGACTGAAAAACGAGGAAAATCTGGAACTGGGAAATCTATAGAAGGTATAAGGCCGCCTGGGTTGGTAAAGGTAAGGAGACAGGCCTGTCAGGATCAAACTGAAAGATTAACAAAACAATTACTTTAGAGTTTGGACTTCGTTTTAGATTTGGAACATGTAGATAAGTTTTGGGTTAATTGCACTAATACCCTTTTGAGTTTTTTTTATCAATCCTAATCAGAAACAAGTCAATGAATTCTAAACAACACTTTCTAAAATTTTAAAATCTTGCATCCACACCTTCTAACCTAAAAAGACCTAAATACCCTTTAACAAGTCAACAATTACTTTTTAACCAAGAAATGACATAAATACCATTTTTCGAACTAATTTTAATGTACCAAATTGACCCAATTACATTAATCCAATTCTCTATCTTCACCAATTCGTCTATCATCCATCATCAAGCAATTGCCCTTTACCTTCCACTGGCACGAAGTCTTTGCCAAATTCAGTCACAGAAGATGATACAGAGAGTGAAACATGTATATATATACTAGTGTAATCCACGTGCGATGGACACACGTGATGAATTAAACATTTTATATTACATATTGTTCTATATCGGCGACTAAAAAACAAGGAAAATCTGGAATTGGGAAATCTATAGAAGGTATAAAGCCGCCTAGGTGGGTAAAGGTAAGGAGACAGGCATGTAAGGATCAAACTGAAATATGAACAAAACTATTACTTCAAAGTTTAGACTTCATTTGAGATTTGGAACATGTAGATATGTTTTGGGTTAATTGCACTAACACCCTCTGGAGTTTTTGATCAATTCTACTCGGTAACATGTCAATGAATTTTGAATAACACTCTCTAAAATTTTAAAATCTTGTATCCACTCCCTTCTGACCTAAAAAGACCTAAATACCCGACTAATCAACAATTACTTTTTAACCAAGAAATGACATAAATACCATTTTTCTAACTAATTTTAATGTACCAAATTGACCTAATTGCATTAATCCAACTCTCTATCTTCACCACTTCATCTATCATCCATCATTAAGCAATTGCCCTTTACCTTCCACTGGCACGAAGTCTTTGCCAAATTCAGTCACAGAAGATGATGCAGAGAATGAAACATGTACATGTATATATATACTAGTGTAATCCACGTGCTATGCACGTACGAGATGAAATAAACATTTTATATTATACATGAACTTAAAATAAAGCTGAATAAAAAAAATTAAATAATTCACAAAACAAAAAAATATATATATAAATAATTAAATTAGGATTATATCAATTTACAGAAGGAAATCTACATCTGCATAAAGTTTGTGACAAACTGAAGAGTGGAGAGAATAAGGAGAAAAACATGGAGAAACCCAGAAATTGAAGAAGATTGGGGGAGAAACAACTGACAAGGGTACAAGAGGAAACTAAGATATAAAGTGGCTAAGTTTTACCAGAAAGTAAATTTTCGTGTGTTTTATACAGGAAAATTTTTAGGGAAAATTTACAACAGCGAGAATCCTACTTTCCCAAAAAATTTCACTTTCTATCTAACCAAACGCATAAATTTTTAAATATTTTCTTCTTTTCATTTCTAGCTAGTTCTTGCTAACCAAACATACCCTTAGACTTCGTTTGAGATTTGGAACATGTAAATATGTTTTGGGTTAATTACACTAATACCTTTTGAGGTTTTGATCAATTCTCTCAGTAACAAGTCAATGAATTTTGAATAACACTCTCTAAAATTTTAAAATCTTGCATTCACACCCCTTCTGACCTAAAGAAGACCTAAATACCCTTTGATTAGTCAACAATTGCTTTTTAATCAATAAATGACATAATATCATTTTTCTAACTAATTTTAATGGATCAAATTAACCCAATTACATTACTCCAACTCTCTATCTTCACCACTTCGGCTATCATCCTCATCAAGCAATTGCCCCTTACCTTCCACTGGCACGAAGTGTGATACCCCCGGATTCCCAGATGCGGGTTGGCCAGGCCCACGCCCGATTACCCAAGGATATCAAACCAATTAGCACTAATCGAACACAGAATATAATTAAGATAAGCATGAGTAAATAAAATTCGCTGAAAAGAAACTAAATGAAAATCCTTTATTGAAAACTTCAGAATAAATTTTATAAATAAGAACTAGTCTGATCCATCTAACTTTTCCAATTCTAATACAACTCGAGAATCCATCTGGTGGACACCTAATCAAAACCAATACTGGGAAACGAACAACTAAAAAGAAGTCCACTGCTAAACCATGAAGAACCTCCTACATCGTCGGTAGAATGAGTAGTCGTCTCTACTCAGCACGAACAAGCTCTAAGACTTGGAACCGTCCGTTACCTGAAAAATAATAGTGGGTCAGGCCCACGAACAAGTTCTATCCTAACTACAATCCAAATAGAGACCCGATACGCAGATACATCCTAGATATCCCAACCATATCTATATAGTCCGTAATAGATAAATATATATATCCACACTACAGGACTCTCACTAAACTATGCTGAGGGTCTCAACCTGAATAGAAGACAACATGCGATACGTACCTGAGTGGGCATGACTACCTAAGCCTAACAGGGTATACCTCAACCAACATTGTTAGCTACGCATCCTACTGCATATACGCTCCCTAACCATCGACTATGAAATTCAAGCTCATGTCACGGTACCATAACAATATATATAAAATTCGTTCACATTCATCCATAAGAAATCCAGTAAGTCGTTCGGCGTATTCATCCGCACCGACACATATATATAAGGAGGATTTTATTTAACAACCCGTACCCTTATTCCAAAATAGGTAGGACTGAGTATTTTGAATCAGTCTGTCCCTAGTATGTCACTGTCCCATACCGGTGCATACAATCCACAAAATCCATATAATTGGTTGAACAGGTAAAACTGTTCACCAATTAAAATCCATAAGGTAGGAATTAGTGTTTGAGCTAAACCATACCTAGTATGTCACCGTCCCATACCGGTGCATATAATCCTTCATATCCGTGTAAATTACAACAATTAAATAATATTTTAGCAATTTACAGTCCATAACCATTCCAAATAATTGCAGAAGAGTATTTCAGCAATTTATATCCAAAACTTTGTAAATTACAGACTATGAATAATAGTACAGCAATTTTAATATCCAAAACCATAATCCAGATTAATTGCGGAATAATTTATATAATATTTCAGCAATTAAGGTTCAAAACCATACTCCAATTAATTGTAGAATAATATATCAGATTTCAACAATTAACATCCAAAACATGATCCAGTTTAAAAACCATAATCCAAATAATTACAGAGTAGTGTTTAATGTTACAGCAATTAAAATCCCTAACTCAAATCCATGTATTGCAGGGAAATACTATATATTTCAACAACTAACATCTAGGATATGCATAGATCACACTTGTTAATTAAATGATCCTAGCATGCACCTACAACCAAATTTATAAATATATACATACTCCATTAAATTGCTAAAACTAAATTAAGCAAATTAACCTCTTTCCTCCGTTAACAACCTGCACTGCTGTATACATTCCTACAGTTAAATCCATGAGTTCAGAGACATTAATTTATCAAGTGTGGCTCTAATGTAGCATGGTACAATTATTAGAATCCATGTTCTATCCCTTTTTAATTTCTAGACACTGTTTGCACCATTAAATCCTTCCGGTCCGTCAAGTCCGTAAACTGTTGCGACTTGCCCTAGATTTTTCCTACAGTTTAAAACCTTAGAATATAAATAAGTTTATACATCCTAGGGCATTAACATTCCATGGTTTAGTGTTTAAAACCATCTCAGTAGCCTAAACACAGTTCTGAAACCCACAGTTGAACCAAACAAGCCCCAAACTGCTTCAGAACACCTAAAGGACCACAGAGCCTTCTCCAAATAATTGGAGCAGGCTCTAACCTGCCTAGAGCCGGCTCCTACAACCCTTGGAGCCGACTCTAATTGAGTGGGAGCCGCGCTCTTTGCTCCTAGAGCCGGCTCTCCCTCTCTGAGAGTCTTCTCTGCTCACTTTTCTTGCTGTGTTGCTCCGTTTTGATTATTAGCTTCGTCTCCGACTATTCTCAACCTTCGGTTCATCTTTAATACTGAGTTTAAGAATCCTATTTACACCCAATATCATCCCCATGACTTGTTCATAATAGTCCATTTCAATTACAGTGTTTAAAACCTTAACCGATCAAGCATGCTTCCACTCAAAACTGTAAACCAGAGGCACAAGAACTTTAACAGAATAATTCCACATATACAGACATCTGATTTAGCATACAACAAGCATGTATAATTTAATTAATGATCAATTAAAACCCTAGAGACAGTCTAAGGATGCACAGAACACAGGCAACGGGAGAGAGAAAGGAAAGAACTTGCCTGTGATTTCAGTTATGAAATTCCGGCATCGTGTCCACTGTTCCAGCAATACTGAGTTACTGTCTAGCCTCCCCTTACTTCTGCTCTTCCTTTCTCCTAGGTCGGACCTTGAAGCCCCGACCGGAAAACCTCACAACTTGTTCTGTTTCTCTCAAAAACCTCTATCTGTTTCCTCCTAATATCCTAGAACGTGAATAGGGTCTGTGTTTTGTTTTTCAACCCTAACCAGCCGTAACACAATATATTTATAGGTGTATTGGAAAACCTAATTTTAATTCTAGGAGGAAACTAAAAACAAAAGAAAATATAAAATTTAAAATATATAAGTCGGCTACAGATTTCATGGTTACAAACAACCCTAAAATCCTATTAATTTGTTTTACCCTATATACACATATACCAAAAAAATATATGTATAATCATCCATGGATATTAACTGTACCCGTTACTCTCCTATCCGAGTAGTCCATGAGACCCAACCGGTTGGTCCATCGCTACTGTCCAAGCCCATCCTTTTAAATCAGAAATAAAATACACATTTAATCTAATTAAAAATACCAATTAAAAAATTAAATAAAAATTAAGCATATAATTAAATTAAATCCACAAATCAATTCAAATAACACGTCATTCAAATTCCACACATAGCCACATAAGCACTTAAAAATAATAAAATAAATACTGAAAACAATAAAATAAATAATAAAATTTCGATTATATCCCTTTCAAAACTAGGGGTATTACACGAAGTCTTTGCCAAATTCATCGTCAC